AAATGGTCATGTATTCTGGAACTCTCTGTATAATCCCATTTTCTTAAAATGGTCATGTATTCTGGAACTCTCTGTATAATCTCATTTTGTTTTTTGCGAAAAAGTATTTTAGCAATGAAGCTCAAATTTTCTGGCCTTTCTAAATAACCTTTGCCCCTCACATAAGGCTAACAGCTTGACTTTTATACCTACTGCCTTAGTCCTTAGGCATACCGTTTAAATGGCTTTTTTTACCTATACCAGACTGAATCTTTATTTAGACATACAACCTGTCAATGAATTTTAACATTTTATAGCTCTCTGGAAAGTCTATATAAAAAACCAAGCAGATTGCACAATTTTTGCAAAGAAATTTTGAATAGATTTTGCACAAACGCCTTTAATGGGAATTTGCAAATTTTCAGTTTTTCTTGGATACACAATTAGATTTTAAATTTTTCAAATGTTTATTGCACATTTAAATTCGCGGGTCAAGGGCTTTTCAAAAATATATATTTTGTGGCAATTTGTGCATTTTTTTTGCAGATTATTAAAAAAGGGCATTCCAAAAATGAATCAAATGTTATAGATTTGATTCACAATAAGAAAATAGAAGGGGGGTCAATTACCACCCCCCCCAGGCAGCCAGTCATTATGCCAGACGTCCGGCTAAGTACGGTTTATATTTTCATGTTTTTTGAAACACTCTGTAAAATCTCATTTTCTTGATATTCTCATGTTTCCTGGAACTCTCTGTATAATCCTATTTTCTTAATATTCTCATGTTGTATGGAACCCTCTTTATAACCAACCCATTTTCTAAATATTTTTCAAAATTTATTCTTTTCCATAAAGAGATTAGTTTGAAGTAGAGTGGATCGTAACCTAGATTCTCAGAAACCATTTACATCCTCGATATTTCTTATGCATGCCTCCCTTCCCTTCCACTTCCTTCACTCCCCTCCCACTCCCCGACACTCTACTCCAAGTTCCTAAAATATCCCTGAATGAGACGCACATACATATAGAAAGCAGTGAAATACACAGGCTATATACCTTAGTACTTACTTTACCTACATACCTGAGCATATACCATATATACCTTATATACCTAGTATTCCTTAGTACTTACTTTACTTACATACCTGAGCATATACCTTATATACCTTGTATACCTAGTATTCCTTAGTACTTACTTTACTTACAAACCTGAGCATATACCTTATATACCTTATATACCTATTATACCTTATATACCTATTATACCTCAGTACTTACTTTACCTATCCTGTAAAATTCAATGAATTTCACAATATTATCGTTGTCTCTTTCTACATTTTCGTCTGTATTTTGTTTGTGTTCAATAAATATCAAAACGGCTGAACAAACCAGGCCCAAATATTTTTTTTGTAACTCACATGACCCCAGGGAAGGTTTATGGCCGGTAGTAGATTCAAAAATTTGCCCCAACGAAATTTTATTTTGTAAAAAATTTGGAATTCCACAATTTAAAACAGAAGTTTGTGAGATTTGACATCGTCATTTATAAAAATAGTCATCTTCGAATATATCAATACAAAGAAGACGACATTCTTTTCAATTTTTCAATAAACATGAAAACAGAGAGAACCCGAAAATTTACAGTTTCTCTTTATTTAATCGTAAACTTGCAAAAAGAAACCGTTTAGTTGAGATTAAAACACAAACACCAAAGTCGTCTTCATTATATTGATTTAAACGAGGCCACTGTTTTATACAAAAATTGACCACAACTGATTTCAAAGCTAGTTGCGAGAAAAGGCGCGAGTTCTTGTCAACTACGTTTGAAAAAATATAAATATAACTCGTAGGACGCCGATTTTTTCCGAGTGAACTCTGCAATACGTCATGATGACAAATATTTTCAGTTTTTAGAAAATCCGACCAAGAATGTGAGCGCGCTTTTTCAGACCTGATTTTTTTTTTAACGATAACATTCCCCCCCCCCCCTCGGAACCACTGCGGTGGGGGAGGGGTATATTATTATCAGATTCGGCAGATTTTGTTTTTATTTTTATATTTCAGATCATTTAAAAAAGAAATTGTTGACTAAGAAGAACAAAGAAAGTTTGTATTGACACCTATGCAAAATGGCGGCAAGTTTTTATACTAGCATATCTATTCTTTTTTCATCCTTATACAATTTCATTCCATTTAATAAAAATTGTGTAGGTTTTTTTTTCCAAAGTTTGGAAAAAGGGAGACGACATATATATTTTGCTTTAAAGATCAATCATTTAGCAAAAATTACATAAAGACAAAGTATGGGACTGAAAAGACGACTTGAAACACTTAATATATGACAATTTCAAGATAAAGTTATGCCTCTTGTCATAAATATTGATTTTATATGGCTTATTTAATGATTTGGCAAAGTGAGTTTACAGTTGCAGGGAATCAAAGACGACTGTACGGAATTTACTCAATCTTTATTTCTACATTGTCAAATTATGAAGTATTTTCCTTTAAAACTATATAAAATGCGGAAAACGAAATTTTGCCTTAAATTTATACATTGTTATATTATTTGTGTTTTATGGTCGTCATACAGTGAAACCCTTAATAACGAATACATCGGAAGAATTTATCAAATGTCGTCTTGACAATTTTTCAATAAGTTTTATACTATATTACGCAAATTTCAGTATTTCCGAAAATAATAAATAGCCATGAATATACGAGAACAGTTTTAAAGAGCTCCATATAATCATTTAATTAAAAAACTAAATATCTGCAACATTCCATTATCAGAAAGTAAAGAATACGACATTTGATGAATTCTTTCATCCCTGTACACTGGTCGTCATGTGTTTCAAGACAATTGAGACGATTTCCTATTTAAGAATTATTTTTATCGTTTCATTGTATTTATATAACGCAAACCATTGTAGAGCAAAAGCAAGTGGTAAATGGCAAAAATTACATTTATTAAAAATGACACACAGCAAAAATGACGTTGATAAAAAATACTCAGTAAAAATTAGTCAGTAATCTTTTATTATATTGTTCCTTAATCTTATGTCCCTGTAAATATGTTGTAGAATTGTCATGAAAAACTTTTGGGACATGCAATTTTAATTATTAGAGGGCTTGTAAGTATAATTTCAAGTGACCCTCTATGCAAAGATGACAATGCCCGATTTACAAGCGTAACATTGAAACATTAATCTGATCAAAATTATGGAAGATATTGTCGTTTCCGACTCTAAAAGTGTTTATTTCTGAAAATTTCTATATAACTTCAAATAAGCCAAAAATTCGCAAGTCACTTTGCAGAAAAGTTTTTAAATGAAAATAAACAGGTTAAAGAAAGAAAAAAACATTATGCATAATTTATACTTACTTCATACTTGATCAAACAAAGTCTTTAACGGTAGAGTTGTAAATTGGGCATTGTCATCTTACTTGATGGAGGGTTACTTGAAATTATACGCTTTCCTAACAAACAAAATTGAATCTAGCTGTTTTTTGTAAAAGTAGGGTTTAGTAATGGTTGAGGTTGTTTATTAATTTAAGTATAAGCTTAGAAGTCTCAGCTAAATCTTAAAGTGCTGAAGCAGGTATATAATATCTATTTGTTTAGCTCCTGAGCTGGAGTACACTGGAGAAGATGGTGGTGGTTCTGGTTCTGCTGGCTGCAGGATGGTTCCATTACTCAAATATAGTTCACAGACTCAAGCTCCAATCAGAGGAGGCCATCAAGGTATAGTTTGTACCTTGAATACAGTGGTAACCAGAAACTCTGAAATAAGAAGACGACTTTTTGAATCAAATTATAGCTTTAAAAAGTCCAATAAGCATGAGACACAGCAATTTTGTAATGTTGACAGACCCATTTCACTCAATTCAGGATTTGATAAAACTATTTGCTTAGTAACAACTTCAAATACACTTAAGTATTGCTATAATGTCGTCTTCCTATTTCATTGTTTTCTGACTATCACTGTAGTATGCCTTCCCAAAATCAAGAGACTTTATAAACGTAATATCGTTCATTTATAAACTCGCATGTTCGATTAAAAACGACATTTAAGCCTTTGTCTGAACAAAAAAGAGGAAGATATCGTCGTTGTTTAACCCTATTCCTGCTGGGGGGGGGGTCAATTTGACCCCCCCCCTGTAGTTTTTTTACATAACTCAAAAAGTATTGGTCTGAGGCTGTTGAAATTCTCTGACTTTTCCTACATACCCAAAGCCCTCCCTTTAGGCCTAAAACCGGGCTTTAATACTAACTGCCTGAGTCCTCAGGCACACTGCCTGAATGACTGCTTTTTCCTGTAACAAACTAAATCTTTGTTTTGACCCACTTCCACTTGTCAGATTTAAAAAAAATTTAGCTTTTTGGAAAGCCTTTGACATAAGGAAACGAATTGCACAAGTTTTGCGAGAAAAAAATTGCAAATTTTTTGCAAACAACCTGTCAAAGGAAATTTGCACATTTTTAGTTTTTCTTGATTAAAAATCAGGTTATTTAAAATTTTGCAGAATATTTTGCAAATTTGAAATGGCATGGTCAAGGGCTTTTCAAAAATGTATAATTTTTCATTTTTTGGACAATTTTTGTTTGCAAACATTTTTACTATATGACTGGATTTTGCGATAAAAAATTCAATGTTTGCAAATTTGCAAATTTTTTTGCAGATTCTAAAAGTAGAGGACAAGAGCTTTCCAATGATGTATCATTTGTCATATTTGGACATCAAACATGGGATTTAGAGGGGGGGTCAAATTGACCCCCCCCAGCATATCCTGGTTTTCAAGTACCCCAGCAGAGATAGGGTTAACTTAAAACATGCTGGGTACCGACAATTTACTTCATTGTCTCTGCTGCATACATGCACAAGTCACTTTTAGAGAGATCCACAATCTAAACTAATCAATCGTTCGTCAAAACATATTAAAAAGATAGGCTATTTTACGATACGAGTCGTAAATTTCAACTTTCTGAATTTGTATGGACGCTACGTTCTTCAGTATAAGTCTTTTCTCCTTATAGACGCAACAGATAGAAGTAAGATTAGTAGCAATCAAAAGCGCTTATTTTTCGCCGTAAGCCTATCATCCTTTTCATTTTTCACAAAGACTCCCTTAAAGAAGGGACCATTATCTGTTGGATATGCCACTCTTAACTGTGGAAAGTCACTTTCCACTACGTATACTGAGGGCTGGGCACGTTTCAACTTTTTCAAGCCGTTTCGTTAAAGTTTTGTTCCAACCGTTTTTAAAATTAAATCACAGGTAGCCGTTAGTTTTTTTAGGGTAAGAACAAAACTTCGTTTCGTTAGCGGTATTTTCCGGGTTTTTTTTTAAGCTACCGTTAGTTAACGATCTCAATTTTATTAATAGCGTGAATAGAAAATTTTTAACAGTTATTACAGAAAAATTCTCTCACGGTTCAAGAAATCATTAACGGCACAGTATTAAGGTTGTCTTAGTTTTTTTTAATATTTAAAATGGTATACCATTTAAAAACATCAAATGCAATTGTAAGCAAAAATCAAACAAAAATCCGGTTCGTTTTCAACCGTAAATTTATTTTCAGAAACGGCTTATCCGCGAGATTTAAAAATTAACGGTTTCTACCGTTCAATAACGGACTCTTCCGTTTATTTTCGAAAACCTCCGTTTCGTTAACGGAACTTCGTCCAAACCTACCGATCTACAGTCCCTTCATTAAATTTTCATAATTACACTTTCTTGAATTATTTTTGAGATCCAGTGGAAGGCAATTATATCCATATAATGAAGACGACTTTTGATTTAAATTTTGATTTATATCAAGCTTTTAACCAGTATAGATACACAAAAACATGGCGACAAAGAGAAGATGTCAACTATAAAGCTGCTATTTTATTACTTGTAAAATTACAATTCGAAAAAACTTGTTAACAATTAAAACTTAAATAAAAATGTCGACTTCATTGTAGCGATGTAATTGCCTACTACCGTATAATAATATAAAATAATAAAAAAACGTGTTCCCTTATAGTTATTACTGCCTGACATTTAGATTTCCTTTTAAAAGCTGCAGAATATGATAAAATAATTTAATCTCAATCTAATCCAGAAGATTACGTTCTTAACGTAAGAAAGTGTTGATCGAATTCTTAATCTTGCAGTTTATATTTTATCTATGAAAAGTGATTGATGGCATACTAGATCAATATATATATAGTATATATGTGATATTTGAAGAATATCTATAAAATATATTGATATTTATGATAAAATATATTGATATTGATGATAAAATATATTGATATTGATGATGAAATATATTTAGTTAAATTGATTAGATAATGGATACGCGTGCATCTTTGAAAGAATGTGATAAGTACAAGTAAGAAATTCCATTCTTGTTCTTTCTCTTGACCCAGAATTTAAGAAAATAAATGGGAGTGCTCACCCACAAAGATAAAGGGGTACAAGAATTTAGGGTGTCCAGCGAAAGAAAACTTTCACGAAAAAATGCGAAATATCGCGAAATTTTTTTCATATTTCGCAAACTTTTTTTTTGCAAAATTTTACATTTTTCCCGAAACAAAAATGCAAAATTCATAAAGAAATGTCGCAATATTTCGCGACATTTTCGCAGTCTTAGTTATTTTTCGCGAAACAAATTATCGTGAAATTTCGTGAACGTAATGCGAAAAATGTAAAAATACAGATGATTTTTCCTACGGATGCTATTCTGGTAATTATTGGAAGCAATGGCTCTTGCGTAGTTTAGGAACAAGAAATATCCCAGCAATGAGTAGTTTGCGAACAAAGAATGGCCCTGAAATGAGTAGCTTAGAAACATGAAATAGTTTAGAAAGAAAGTTTAAAAATTTTCCAATATTTCGCGACATTTTCGCCAGTAGCTTAGAAACAAGGAATGGCTCTTAAATGAGTAGCTTAGGAACAAGGAATGGTCGTGAAATGAGTAGCTTAGAAACAAGGAATGATTGTGAAATGAGTAGCTTAGAAGGGTTATCTATATCATATTGGATATTCAGGGTGATCTATATCATATTGGATATTCAGGGCCGTTTTCTATATCATATTGGATATTTAGGGTGATCTATATCATATTGGATATTTACGGTTATCTATATCATATTGGATATTCAGGGTGATCTATATCATATTGGATATTCAGGATGATATATATCATATTTGATATTCAGGGTGATCTATGTCATATTGGATATTCAGGGTGATCTATATCATATTGGATATTCAGGGCCGGTTATCTATATCATATTGGATATTCAGGGTGATCTATATCATATTGGATATTCAGGGTGATCTATATCATATTGGATATTCAGGGCCGGTTATTTATATCATATTGGATATTCAGGGTGATCTATATCATATTGGATATTCAGGGTGATCTATATTATATTGGATATTCAGGGCCGGTTATCTATATCATATTGGATATTCAGGGTGATCTATATCATATTGGTATTCAGGGTGATCTATATCATATTGAAATTTTAGGGTGATCTATATCATATTGGATATTTAGGGTGATCTACATTACATTCGATATTCAGGGTGATCTCATCTCATATCAATTTAAACTAGAAATTACAATATCTTCCACATTATTTATCAGATAAAGGTTTAACAGGGTACCATTGTGAATCGGGTAGATTTTTCAATTTCAATGTTGATGTGGCCTGAATATTTATTTTTTTATTGATCGATTTATATTTAAAAAATTGGCTTTATTAAACTTTGCAAATATCTTCAAAATCCGGGTTAATGGTTATAATTTGTTTAATTTTTAAGAGATTTTACGATTTTAACATTTCTGAATTTATTGATTTTATTGTTCTCGTTCACATTAATGTATTGATCTTTACAAAAATCCATATATCTAAATTTTGAGTTTGAAAATTGTAAAAAACCTTAAACAGTCAAAGGTACCGTTGTGAATTGGGCACTGCCATCTTTGCTTGGAGGGCCTTTGAAATTGCGCTTAAAGTTCCTTTATATTGAATTTTGCAGAAGTAATAAAGTCCACAATAGTTTCATTAAATAATTTCACTTAAAGTTTCTTTCTTGACTTGAACTGACATGAATTGTAACCGGTGTGAGCTCAATTGTTCGGAATAGGGATGGTTCCATTGATTTAACCCCTTCAGTCCTAATACGGACCTGAACCTAAGCTCGGATTGCAAGTAGTCCGGCCTATAAACATTACTGCAGCGTATTAGCTCTTTTGTACAAAGCTTTAGGTCGGACAGAAAGTGGGACGGACGATAAGTCGCCTTATGAATATCATGTAGGGAGATTATCCATTTAAAGATGCCAGCCCAGAAAACATGCTTTTAACGCATGATTTGAACGCCAGGAAGATTGTACGCGAGGAAGATTTGAATGCGGGGAAAATCGTAACTACCGTTGGACCGGGAATTCTATTTTAAGTTCATGCCAATAGGCGTGAAACATGGCTTGACACTAGGGAGGAGTAAATAGGATTTTAATGGGCCAAAACCGAAATGAAAGTTAGTTATAACAAAGGGAAAGAAGTCGGAAAATGAACTCGTCGTACGCGACGAGGCGAATGAAAGGCGGAGAGTCTGCCAGAAAGCTCCGACTTTCCCATGATTCATTTATATAATTTTATTTGTTCTTTTTTTACTTGTAAATTCATTCTTTCCCATACTCTGTACATTTACTCACATCAGGTTAAGGCTTTAGATTTCCTTTAGGTCTTACCACTTTTAAATGGTAACAAGTATATAATAAAGTCCAAAATAGTTTCATAAAATAATTTTGAATCCAGGTGTTGGAAAATCTACCGGAGGAGGCAGACAACTAGGATCCAAGATGAATCAAGCGGGACCCTCATCCGGAAGTCCGACCGGAAATGATCCTGATTTTATGACCGGAAAAATAAATGCACTTCCGGCCGGAAATGAAAAAGAAATTCCTATAACCTCCCCAATTTAAAACTAGTTTTTATTTTGATATAGATCATTGTTGACCATAAATCTTTCTCCTAAACCCCCCCCCTTCGTAATGTCGTCTTTACCAGCCCCAAATCCAAACCATACAATTTCTCCGACTCTACCTCCCACAAAGGAAAATTGAAACAGTGAAATGTTTTAATTTAAAAAAAAACAAATCCACAAACAACTTTGCAATTCTTAGTAAATTCCACTTAAACAACCAGGTTTATATTTTCAGAAGTATTTACTAATGTTTTTAACTATTCCATCAAACCTTCCTCCATTTGCAATTTTTGTGTTCGAGTTAAGGAGTCATCTAAACAATGAGTCAACGAGTCAACCAGTCATCTAAACAATGAGTCTACAACTCAATTAGTCAACTTAGTCACCGACGCCCGCCAATTGTTTTAACATTTAATTCTAGTTTTCATTTTAAAAAAGATTAATTAATTCTAGGTTTCAGTTTAAAAAAGATCAATTAATTCTAGTTTTCAAATTAAAAAAGATCAATTAAATCTAGTTTTTAATTTATTAAAAATATTTAATTATAGTTTTCAATTTAATTAAGATCAATTAATTCTAGTTCACAATTAAAAAAAGATCATTTAATTCTAGTTTTCAACTTTAAAAAAAATCATTTAATTCTCGTTTTTATTTTGAAATAGATCATTTATATCTAGTTTTTATTTAAAAATAGATCAATTAATTCTAGATTTTATTTTGAAATAGATAATTTAATTTTAGGTTCAGTTTTAAATTTATTCTTTATTTCTTGTTTTCATCTTAAAATATATCATTTAATTTAAGTTTTTTTTTTAAATATATTATTTTTTCACTATTCGTTATTTCAGAATGTACCTTACTCTCTCATTTGGTGGATTATATCGAAATCAATCAATCAATAAGGTCTCAGGAATCGGGACATTTTGAAAAAAAGTAAAGAATAAATTTAACTTTTTGTTAACAGGAAGTATTAAAACCGCTTTCATAGTTTTACTTTTGTTAGATATGTCTAAAAATACAAATTAATTTCCTCTCTAGAATTTGAGGTAAAAACTAAAGAAAACTGATTTTTTTTTAATTAGATGAAAAAGTCACCCGGAAACCAATAATGTTCAAATATAGATTGAAAATTATACAATGTAATTTTTATGAAGACTATATTCTTAAAATAATTTTGTTCTAAAATGGAACCCAAAAAATGCAGCAATTGTGCAGCTCACAGAGACCTAAAATTTCACTTCATGTGTTGCTACTGACAAATGTATTGTATTTGATTTATAAAACATCTAATTCAAATAATATTGCTTAAAGGTCGTCTTCCTATTCCAAAGTAAAAGGAACTGTAAGCGTAATTTCCAGTGAACCTCCATGCAAAGATGGCAATGCCCAATTCACAACCTTTATCTAATCAATAATGTGGAAGATATTGTCGTTTCTCTAGATTAAAAGTGTTTAATTCTGATAATTTTTATAATTTTCCTGCAGTAAAAATACGCAAGTCACTTCTGTAGAGAAACCACAATTAAAAATGATCAGTTTTCAAAATCACTAACTTTGATATTTAATTAAGACGTACTTGATCAGACAAAGCTTTAAAGGTTTTGGTTGCGAATCTGGCATTGCCATCTTTGTATGGAGGGTCATTTGAAACTACGCATACAGTCCCTTTATAGAGGTTCTCTAACAAATGTGGTTTAATGTCTCTGAACCCTGATATAGGCTTCAATCTATCTCGGAGAAGAGAACTGTAGAATTATCCGTCCTAACTCAATCAGAGGATCTAACAGATAGAAAATCCATTATAAACTCGTACTATCAAGCCCTTAGGTAACAGAAATTATCAAGAATTTGTCCATTTACAGAAATTATCCAGGATTTTTCCTATTACAGAAATTATCAAGGATTTGTCCTATTACAGAAATTATCCAGGATTTGTCCTATTACAGAAATTATCCAGGATTTGTCCTATTACA